CGATTGGCTTTCTATGTGAAATCCCCAATCTCCGTCACTTCTGACGTAACTCGAAGTGACTACGAAAGGGAACTAGAGGTATTTCGGGTTTCAAAGAGAGCTTGATTACTTACAGAGAGGCCTTAAAAGCTGCTAGATCTGCTTATTTTTCATTTTCTGCTTATTAGAAGAAAATAAACATAATCCAAGGTATTTATTTGAAATGGTGGCTAACGAAAAAGCTAACGAAAAAGAAAACTTCAACCCCAGAAGTGTCCAAGCAACTCAGCAATAATGACTTTGTGAACTTCTTCTCTTGATTGATAATATCAGGGACAAAATTTTAACTATGTAACCATCTACTACAGTATTGGATCAGGGAATGCATTGTAGGCTCCCTGAGGAAAATTTTTATTAATTTGTTGCATAGGAGAGGAAGAATTTTGCAAACTTGTTAATTCATCTAAATCGACAACTTGGATGTTAGACCCTATATACCAACTAAGCTACTGAAGGAGATGCTTCCAGATGTCATGGATCCTCTTATTAATATCATTAATTTGTCTTTGTCGCTAGGATACGTACCAAAAACCTTTAAGCTGGCTATGATAAACCACGCTTGTTAAAAAAAAACGCAACTTGACCATACAAAATTAGTCAACTACAGGCCGATCTCGAATCTACCTTTTCTGTCAAAGATATTAGAAAAAACAGTATCCTCACAACTGTGTTCCTTTCTTGAAAGAAATTATGGTAACACTTTACAATAAGGTTCATTAGTTAACATTAGATAATGTATTAACTAACATGAACTAACCATGAGCAATACAATACGTTACTCGATCTGGTTTCACTTTATTTGGATGGTCCCTTTAACACATTCAGTTTACTATAAGTAACGTTGTACCTACATCTCTACTAACTCTCACTAGTGCTGCATTTGACACAATTGACCACAACATTCTTTTAAATAAAACTATGTTTGCATTAGTGGAATGGTTTAAATCATACTTATCTGACCGTTATTAATTTGTAGCAGTAAATAAAGAGATGTCTTACAAAGAGATCTGGGCCCGGTTCCCCGATAACGCTCACTCTTAGCGTGCTAAGAAGACTCAAAAAGATATATCTTACCGAAGTTGTCTATGTTCCTAAGTGTGTTCCCCGAAGTGTCACTTAGGAAGCTTCTTAACTTGCTCCTCTTACGTTCGACGTTACAAAGGCGCTGTCCCAAGTAAAGGTGCTGAATTAGTTGGCATCGATTGCTCAGGAATCGATTTTCCACTTCACGCAAAGGTTTATTACGGCGTTAAGAAAGATAACGTTCTATGCAAATTAAAACTTTCTCAAATTACTCGAGTAACATTTATTTTAACATTGTTTAAAGGAACACTCCGACTTTTTGGGACTTTAGCCTATTCACCTTACCCCCCAGAGTTAGATAAGTCCATACATACCTTTTTCATCTCCGTGCGTGCTATAAGTCTGTTTGACGCACCCACCGCTAGCCTAGCTTAGCACAAAGACTGGATGTGAATGGTTGCAGCTTTCATACTAATCCAAATGAGTGACAAAATAACGCAAACGTTTTCCTATTTACACGTTGTGATTTGTATAGTCACAAACTGTATACAAATAAGAAGGCCATATGAGACACAGACATCTTTTAACCTTATAAATACTATATTTTCTGAAGGCGAAGCACTGCTACTTGGGCAGAGTGATAACAATCACCTGAGACGCACCGTGACGAGGAGCAGAGAGTTCGCTTCACTCAGTGTTGGAATAAAGAGTCAGCAATTACTAACGTTAGATAGAAAAGCATAGTTTATCATGGGTGTTTGCTTTATTGTATGAGCTGTGACAATAAACAGGGGAGACCAGGTAATACAGTACCATGTTTCATTGATTTCCAACCAAAAACGCACCCAGATTTATAAATATCACATGAATAAATAATTATTATTACAGGAATCAATATATTTTAAATGCAATTCATTAGCTGAACCAAATGTATTCAACAGTATATAATATACAGTAAAATTGCATTACTATAGGATAGAATAAGGGGAAAGTAATAGCACAAATTGTTTTTGCACAATGAACTCACAGCCTATCGTACCCATTTGCACGCTCAAGTTCGTTATTTCCATGGTTATTTCAAATTTAGGCTACTAGGCGCGCCGCGCGCAGGGTGCAAGTTCAACGCGGTGAACGCGCTCGTTTTTTTTCCAAGCGCGTCCGCACCGCATCAAGATAAAAACTTATTCATACCCTAATCATATAATAGTGTCACTAACGTTACATTAGCTCTGGCTAATGGCACTGTTACAGTAGGTCATCTAAAAACATAACGGAACACTTACCTCAGCCGCAGGTGATCCACTTGTCCTGTCTGTGCTATCGATGGGATAACTTAGCCGTATCCTTCAGCACATTATGGTCCGTGTGGCAAATTCCATTTTTTCAAAATAGTCGTCCATTGAAATGTACCGAGCAAACATAATGTCCCTTGATAATCTATTTAGGTGTGTTTGGATCAATATCCAGAGTAAGTTAGCCATTTCTTCATCCAGTCAGCGTTTTTAGTTGGAATTCTGTGAAACATGGTATTACCTCCCCTGTTTACTGTCGCAGCTATTTACAATAGAGCGAAAACCCATGACTGTAAACTACGCTTTTACTATTTATAAATTGCTGACTCTGTTACCCAAACACTGAGCGAACTCTCCGCTCCTCACCACGGCGTGTCTCCGGTGATGCGGTTATCACTCCGCCAAAGTAGCAGTGCTTCGCCTTCAGAGAATAGTTCCCAGGTTTTATACGGTTAAAAGATATCTGTGTCTCATTTGACTTTGTTATTTGTACATTCTGTGACTATACAAATCACAACATGTAAATAGGAAAACAATTGCGTTATTTTGTCACTCATTTGGATTACTATGAAAGTGCAACCATTCACATCCAGACTTTGTGCTAAGCTAGGCTAGCGGTGGGTGCGTCAAACAGACTTATAGCACGCACGGAGGTGAAAAAGGTATGTATGGACTTATCTAACTCTGGGGGGTAAGGTGAATAGGCTAAAGTCCCAAAAAGTCGGAGTGTTCCTTTAAGTTATCAGTAAAAGAGACTATTAATTAAATTATCAAATTGTGATATGTTAAAATGTTTGAGATGATGATCAAAGCAGGATGTTAACAGAAGTGAGAGCCGCGCGGGAATCCCAATGCAAAGCTTCACGAGATAGGATGCAAGTGGCAAAACTAAACATCTATGAAAGCTCAGCTTCAGGTAGGGGATGTTTACAGGTAAAGATAAAGAGACCGAGAGAAGAAGAACGAGAGAAGGAGATGGAGATAAGAGAGGAGAGGTAAAGCAATAGCCTATTGCATACTGTGCCCAGAATGAGAATAACTTTATTGCAATGGATTCCTATTTAACACAAATATACAAATCCCAAGTTCTTTGACAATTCCTGTGGAAAAATAAAATGCCCCCGAACCCAAGATCACTTTTGGGACCTCTGTATTTATAAAACCCTGTGTACTGCTTTTGCACTGAATAGAAAATGATATTTTTGCAAAATACAATGAATGACAAGGCTGTACAGTAGAGTGCACTATTGCAGACTTATATACTGAGGTTTTAATTATATTATTTTACTGAAAGTGCCTCTCACTCAAAGTGCAAACCTACACACCAAATCTCCAAAACCATAAGCTATTTCTCAGCCTTTGACTAAAACACAAAACATCTAGAAGGAATTGACTTGCTTTTCTTTTCCAAACACACCAATCAACATGGTGCAATTATTCACCAGGTCACACAAACACTCCTCATATGTGCAAACTCTAATTGTTTTACTGATCACTAACCAATCACTGCTTTACTGTAGTATAAGCCTATAATAGGTCAAAGGTCAGATTACCTGTTTTGAACAATAGATGCCAACAATGGACAGAGACCCCCACAGACTCAATTGTGTCCTTTACTGTATTATAAAGAATATACTTTTGGTTTACATATGTTTATGGTTTTGTTGTATATTGTATACAACAGTAATGTTTGGCCTAATGAATATTTTCTGTTTCTAAATTGCATTGGTGAATACTGTCACTGTACTTGTTACCGATCTCAGAAGACTACTTTCACTGTAGAACATTGTATTGATATAAGCATATGGAAGACCAAAGAGCTTTAGATTTAGAAAAAACAAACAAACAAACAAAACAATGTTTACATGGTGTATCAAAAAAATGCACTAATAAGTGTTTGCCATTTGATGGAAATGCTTCATTCTGACATGTGTTTATGACATTTTGAATGCAGTTAAATTTTTGAAGGAGATGTGAGGCATTTTGCATTTTGTGTGTGAAGTTTTGGAAATTGTGTGTAGAGTTTTGAAAAAAGGTGAAATAGTTTTGAAAATGTGTGAAAGTTTCTAAAGACTGCTGCACAGTGGTGGCAACTAGTGTCTTGAGCTCAAACAACACTAAGAGAGAGCTTACGAATGGTCCAGACCAACCTTACGAAAGTGTGACTTACAGAAGATATACTTAGCGTACGAACGTTTCGGGAACCGTGCCATAAGAGAGAGGTTAAGGAATAGGTTAAGAACTACTTAGAGATAAGAACTTTTTGGGGAACCGGGCCCAGTTCACTCTGTACATGCTGCCATTAGGAGATATCATTGGTAAACATGGAAGTAGCGTTCACTGTTATGCCAATGATACTCAGCTCTATATTTCTTCAAAATATAACGAAACTTACCAATTCACAAAATTAATGGAATGCATAGCTGAAAAATAGGATGACTAGTAATTTTGTACTACCACAAAATTCTGAAAAAAACAGAGATTCTGATTATTGGACAAAAAACGTCCACACGTCATAACCTAGAATACTGTCTAACACTTGATGGCTGCTCTGTTAAGTCTTCGTTGTCGGTTAGGAACCAGGGTATGCTCTTTGATGCCAATCTTTCATTTGAAAGTCACGTGTCTAGTATCTGTAAAACTGACCTGATTGTATCACTTGAAAACATGACTCCAGAAATGGCACTCTCATGTAGATAGGCTGGGAAGATTGGCGGTCTGGAGCATCCTTACCAAAATACAGAAGGTCAAGAATATATGAAACCCAGGTGGTACCTAGAGGAACATGAGTATAAAACCTTTTCTTAGAAACAGAACAATGATAACAAGATAAGAACTAGCATTCATACACTTATATATTTTTTTAATTTATTTATTTAGATGGGACAATGCATATCAATGAACGTACAAACATAGTCGAACGTAAATATGCCGGATTTAGCACAATGCTAATTTCCATTTATTGTCCCCCAACACAGACAAACACAACCCAAAAATATATAGAAAAGACACACAATATACATATCAAGAAAACACATGTAAAATAAACTATACATACATATATATATATATATATATATACACATACACATACATACATACATACATACATACTTTGTACATATACACATACATTATACACACACACACACACACACATATATATATATATATATATATATATATATATATATACAGTATATATATATATATATATATATATATATATATATATACACACATACATACATACATACACACATATACACATAAATAAATTAAGAATAGTGATAATCATAAAAGTTCCAATAGGCCTATCTTATAGAGAATATATTGCAGTACCCATTACAGAAGACTGCTATATGAAGACATTCGAAGATGCTTATTATAAATATTTAAAATAAATCTACCTATCAAATTCAACCTTTATACCAAATGGTTACATTTTTGATGTTTGTTCAGCCATCTCTTAAGCTGTTTCTTAAAAGAAGCAAAAGTTGGGCTATCTCTGATTTCCTTTGGCAAACTATTCCAATGTGTGCAGCCTTTAATAGAGAGAACATTTTGTGCAAACGAAGATTTTCTAAATGGTACTTCACAATCCCCCCGGGTAAATGATCTTGTCCTAGTCTCACTATTTTTCTTTTTTATAAAATCCCCCAAGGGCGGTGGGGCGATTCCATTCATAGATTTATAAATTAGGCAACTATTTTTAAAAATGTTTAGGTTTTCAAAATTTAGGAGTTGGTACTTCTCTAGAATTGGACAAAGGTGAAACGATTGTTTCCTGTCAAATACCTTGACTGCTTTTTTATATAATTGATTAATGGGTTTTAATGCAGTAACTCCGGCAAAAGACCAAACTGTGAAACAATATTCAATATGGGAAAAAATCATACAATGAAGATAAGATTTAGTAGCGTCGGTTGTAATATAGGACCTAATTTGTTTGAAATTTTGTAAATTAAATTGTATTGTATTTGTTTCTTTTCTGTATGTGCTTTTTGAAAGTGAGGTTTGAATCTAGTATAACCCCAAGGTACTTGAACTGGGCTACCAACTCCAATTCCTCCTCTCCCAAAAACACGTAAGATCTATTTCCTGCTAGCGATTGCTTCGTGAGTGTCTTAAATTCAGTTTTTAAAGTATTTGACTTCACAGAGGATTTTTTCGTAAACATTATCACAACGGTCTTTTTGGTATTGAGAGTGAGACAAATTTGATTTAGCCAGTTTTGAACTTCAGTTAGTGATTTTGTAAGATTTGCAGCTATTGTCTTTTTATCTTTTCCATGAATGAAAATCACAGCATCATCTGCATACATCTGCACATTGCAGTCCAAACAAATATCTGGCAGATCATTAATATACATTGAGAACAATAAAGGACCGAGAATTGAGCCCTGTGGAACTCCAACATGATTACTAAGAGGAGGAGATTTAACACCATCTATATTAACACACTGTGTTCTGTTTGATAAATATGATTGAAACCATGATATAGCATCTGTAGAAAAATTAAATTGTGTAAGTTTGGTCAACAGTACTTGATGGTTGACTGTATCAAACGCCTTTTTAAGGTCTAAAAATACCGCTCCTACACAATTACCCCTATCCAATAAATATTTAATCTGTTCGATCAGACAGCAGTTTGCCGACTCAGTGGAGTGATTTGGCCGGAAACCGAACTGCATACGGTGCAGAGGGGTGAAACCTTTATCCAGATGTTCAACAAGTAGTTTTACTATCCACTTTTCAGCAACTTTAGAGACTATTGACAGGATGCTAATTGGACGGTAATTGGCAACCTGTGTTTTTGATCCTGATTTAAAAATTGGTGTAATAATGGCCTCTTTCCAAGTTGATGGAACTACCCTTTGACTGATTGATTGATTGATTAACCATAAAGGTAATAGGTTGTACCAAAGCATCGTTATAAGATTTTAAAAAGTTAGTGTCAAGACCATGGGCATCCCTAGCTTTGGAGCTTTTAAGGGCAGCAATGATCTTCTTTACTTCTACCTCCGTTATATTTTTTTATCTGAAAAATAGGCTGATCTTCATTTAATGGTCGAGGTAAAATTTTTGAGGAAACGCAGGGCCTTGTTATTTCAGATATACTTTCTATAAAATAATTATTGAAAGTTTTTGCCACAGTTATGGGATCTCTAATCTGGACATTATCCACAGCTAACTCAATGGCTTTAATTTCCTTTTTATTGTGTTTACCTAATAATTTATTTAAAATTTGCCATGTTTTTTTTCCCATTACCTCTTGTACTTTCTATAATGGAGACAAAAAAGTCTGCCTTAGCTTTTCTTAAGGTTTGTGTATATGAGTAGTACTGAATGTTTTAAAACATTTAATATAACCATACCAAAGCCCTATTTTTATAGTTCATACTGTTGTTCATACTGTCATTTGAACTGACAAGACAGGACAAAGGACTGAATAAAAACAGGGAAAATATATATCAGACTAAACAAGGTAACTAAAGAGACAATTAATTGAATGACAGGTGAACTGGATGATTAATCAAGGGAACAAACTGGAAACGAGGTCAAATAAAGGGAACACAGGCAAACAGGAACCTAAGAATTAAATTAGGCTAAATTAAGCCAAAACAGAATACAAGTTACAAACCTAAAGTGTAAACTATTTATGGTTAATAAATTGCTAACAATTATCTAACTCTTGGTAATACTTTATTTAACAGTGTGCTTGTTACACATATTACATGTAGATACTATAGCAATTACTTTAAATTGTGCATAATTACATGCAACTAACCTTAACCACAACCTAATCCTAACCCTTTTAGTAAGTACATAGTTCATTATTATTATTACTCACTACTTAGATGTATAATTACACAATTACGTATGTTACAATTACAATTATTTGTATGTAGTCTATTAATGTATTAACTACAGTTTATGAACATTTAATTAAAGGATTAGTTCACTTTAAAAAAAAACTTTTGCTGATAATTTACTCACCCCCATGTCATCCAAGATATCCATGTCATTCTTTCTTCAGTCGAAAAGAAATTAAGGTTTTTTATGAAAACATTCCAGGATTTTTCTCCATATAATGGACTTCAATGGGAACCAAACGGTTAAAAAGACAGTTTTAGTACAAACTGCAAACTCTTCAACGGGGTTTAAACGATTCCAGACGATGAATAAGGGTCTTATCAAGCGAAACAATCGCTCGTTTTAAAAAAAAAAAATCATCGAATCACGATGAAAAATGCAAATCACAGAACAGAGCAAGGCGAGCATTTGAGCTTATAAAACTTATAATACTTTTTTTTTTAAATGAGCGATCTTTCACTTGATAAGAAGTGAAATCTTATTCATCGTCATCGTCCTTATTCATCGTCTTGAATCGTTTAAAGCCCTTTGAACAGTTTGCAGTTTGCACTGAAACTGTCTTTTGGACCTTGAACCATTTGGTTCCCATTAAAGTCCATTATATGGAGAAAAATCCTGGAATGTTTTCATCAAAAACCTTAATTTCTTTTCGACTGAAGAAAGAATGACATGGATATCTTGGATGACATTGGGGTGAGTAAATTATCAGCAAAAGTTTTTTTTTAAAAGTGAACTACTCCTTTAACTATAAACTAATAGTTTGAAAATGATTTGTAAATATTTTATTACTGTATAGTATTTATAAAGTGTAACCTATTTCTTGACAGTTTGAAACAGAAATATTTAGTTACATTGTCTTTGCCATCACTAATGATCATTTAAATGCATTTTTTTTTTAAATTTGAAAAAAATCTGTGCTATCTGTGTTAAAGGCACAGTGACTATTTTTTTAAACCTGTAAAAGTTCATGCAGCATCCTTACCTGCTTTGGGGTAAGTGGCGATAAGAATGTCATCAGGTCTTGCTTGAAAGTTTTTCACGTTTTCCCAGTTGTCAGTGAAGTAGTGTATCATAGAAACACCCTCAAAATCAAACAACTCAGGTCGACTAGGTAGTTTCATCTGCAGTATTAAAAAGTGTCAGTTTAATGCTGAAGCTTTATTGCATGGTCATTATTAAACAATCATCACTGGCCATAAACAGTCAATGTCAAAACCTGTTAACAAACAAGATTTCAGTTACAAAATCAATTAATAGAGTATAAGTATGGAGAATCGTCCTAACTTGGTACCTTAATGATACATGAATAACTATGTATTAATACCTGAAACAATACTTACTTCAGCATGAACTAATGAGTAGAGAAAGCTCAATCTAATCAAGAATAAATGAAGAGCTAACCTTACCTATGATTGGAGTCATTTGAATTTATGCATGAATAACAACAACCTTAACTTTATTGTTGGTACATGTTTGATAGTTAATGCATTAATTAACATCTAGGGGAAAACTAAACCAAACAGACAATATTCTTACTCTTGTAAGAATATATAAGAAGTATGCTGACTTTGAATTAAACTTCAATAATTGGTTACACTTTTAAGGTGATGTACTATAGCTAAACTGTACTTACTGTTCTCAAATAAGTATTGAGTAATATAAATTAACCACATGTAGGGGAGAGCCGGGACGATTGAATCACGGGATGGATGGAACATTGAGATTTGCTTGAAAACCACTCATGGTCATGTACGTAAAATTTCGTCAGCAAACTTCTTTATGTCTTGTCATTTTAAAGATAGAGACGGAAATCTGTTTTTGAGTGTGGTTAGTGAATTCTTCGTGTGGTACTTTTTTTGACTAAAAAGTTGTATTAATTGTTTCATGTGCCATTGTAATGACAATACGGCAGGTGTATTAGTTCTGCAACACACCCTTAAGTGTGCAATATCAGAGTTTTTTAGTTTAAGAACAAAACAGGTTTAATTGGCAGGACACGCTGTCGGGACTCCTGTCAGTTAAACCTGGTCATAGGAAAACACTGAATATGACTCAATCACTCAATATGACTCAATATGACTCAAGGAAGAAATGTAAGAAAATTAGGGCTGTCAAATGATTAATCGCGATTAATTGCATCCAAAATAAAAGTTTGTGTTTACATAATATAGGTGGGTGCACTGTGTATAATTATTTAGTATATATAAATACACACACATGCATGTACATTTAAGAAAAAAATATTATTTATATATAAAATATTTATATTTCTATATAATATAAATTATATATAAATCTATATACAGTATGTACATGATAATATTGCTTAAATATATACAAGCATGTGTGTGTATATATATAAAATAATTATACACAGTGCACCCACATATATTATGTAAACACAAACTTTTATTTTGGATTAATCGCAATTAATCATTTGACAGCCCTAAAGAAAATTCATTGTAAACGTATTTGTCTGTCTGTGTTATGTTTCAGCTAGCATTGCATTCAAAAGAAAAGAGTGGACGATAGAGATGAGTCATCCGTTCTTGGCATATTTATTTTCAGCTGTAGACACATCAGTCTCACGGTTGAACTGTAGAGAGTTATATTTTTCTTTTTAACTACAGTAAATCAACTTGGACAAACATAATGATACAAACACATCCTCCATAGCCTGCACTTTAGTGCACCCCCACTTGCACTCAGGTTGCTATAGCCTACTCTAAGCAAAAAAAAAAAAACAGAATGAATGTGGACATTTGTCATACACATATCAATCTCCAAAAAGAGCACCTGCAATCCTCTTCAGTTTCAACTTATTCACAGGTTTGGTCATTACATCAGCAATCATGTTATCAGTAGAACAATACATCAAAGTGACTCTTCCCTCACTTACAATAGACCTAATAAAGTGGTACTTTATGTCGATATGTTTACATCTCCGTCTGTTTACAGGGATTTTGGCGAGAGCGATTGTTCCCTGATTTTCCTCATGTATTATAGTTTGTTTGTACTTGTAGTCAGGGATGGGCATAAATACATGGAATGTATTTAAATACAAATATACTGTGTGGAAAAATGGATTTAAATACAAATACAGTATTTTTTTTTTCAAAAGTTTTTTTGTCTTCTTCATGTAATCACATTGTGCATATGGAAAAAAAAAATGAAAAAAAAGAAGGATATTTTATTCATATGTTATGCTATGACCTTTGTAGTGGACACCAGCACTCGATTGTTTAAAAAAAAATTGGTAACACTTTACGGTAAGGGTACATGAATTATCATGAATTCATGTATAAATTCATGCATGAATTATGCATTAATTCATGCATTAATATCTTATGAATCATCAGGAACCAACACGAGTTCAATGTTTTTCATTCATGATGAACAACACCTTAATTAAATCATTAACTAATATGAGTATTGTAACCCCTTTGAATTGTACAGTTATATATATTTTTTCTTTATTTATTCCTAAAGTATTTGTACCTGCTTTTGATTTGTAAACCACAAAGGAACTCCTGTATTTTAGATGCAGTAAATTCAAAGAGTAAATTAGTCAAAGTTGTTAATTTCTCCAGTTGCTGAGGAAAACAACCGGTCGAAGCTTTGGTTACTGGTTTTTCTTTTACACAAACTCTGGTGAGTTTTGCATATGCATTACTTCTACTTTCAAATTGATATTCTTTTTTTTCTTTATATGTGTCTTAAAGCCAATCAGAGTTATATATATTATGGTTTAGAATGTATTTTTTGTATGTTTATATGGTAAAATTAATACAGAGTCAAATCTGTCTGTGCATAATGCTGGTTTAACTGTTTAGTTAAACTATTTCATTTTCTTCAAGTGTTATAAATGCAGCAAATGATAAGAGAAATTTTGTACAACTGACAAAATATTCAAATAAGAGAGATATATTGCATATTGGAATACTTTTATGTGTTTAAGTTGTTTATTTGCACTTATATTGTCACGTGTTGAATTAACACTGGTAATAACCATAGACTGTAAAAAAATATGGACGTAGTGTCCGTGACGTCACCCATAGGTTTCTGAAGAGCGATTTTGAGGCCTAAAGTAGGCGGGGCCGACCGTCGCCATCTTGGCAGTGCGTCACCTCTCGTCACTACTGGATAAATTAAAATGGGCAAAGAGGCGGGACGCGGGTGGAGCTGAGGTGCTAATGCTATGCTACTGCCGCTAAATTGACAGCTGATTGAAAAAGTAAAGCCAAGGTTAAAGTTCATGTTTTGCCCTTCGAAATATTATAATAGTGAAGACGTAACTAAAAGTGAGACTACTTAACATTTTTAATCAACTTTATTAATCTCACAAATGGGGCAATTAGTTAAGAGCATGTATACAAGACAAGTACATTAACACAGATCACACATTTCTCACAACAAGCAGTCACTATGTGCATTGTGATGCATTTTTATTCTGCTAGTTAAAAATGTATTAGTTACTTACAATATTGCTCTAAGCTTGTGCATGTGACAGTGATTCAAGGCAAGCACACATGTCAGTCGGCATCTCACGTCAAGTTCGTAAAGAGCTTTAATTCAGTCCATTTTACAATCTGATTTTGGCCACCTCTCAGTTTCTCAGATGGGTCAAACCAAAGATATTACCTCAGAACCTCAAGTAAATGAACTAGAATTCCGCGCTCATTCAAGGGTGTGCATCTATTACATGGACGGAGAGAAAGCACTGAAATCATCAGACATCCATTAGTGCATGCGAGGGAAACAGCTGGAAACACGGCGCTGGTCGTTCTCTCCATACTCAACACGACGGAATCCAACGGCGTGCACGGGCGAAGGTATAATACATGTATTAAATTGTATGAAATAATCCCGGAAAAGCACAAACACAGCTGAGGGTGACGCTAACAGACAGCAGATAAACGACAGTGAGTGAACGCGGCGGCAAGAATCCACCTGTCACTCAAGTGGCCACGCCCTTAATTATGCAGAACTTTAAGGCTTAAATATAATTTAAACAGATGAGTTGTAAAAAAATTCACCCCCCACACAGTTGTCATGAAGGGAAAAATGAGCTCTATAGACCAAAGCCACTTTTTGCTCCAGGCTGTAAACATGTTTTTTTCGGCTGTAAAGTTGGGCATTTTAACATGGGGGAGATACAGATTTAACTCGCTTCTGCAGCCTGCCTCAAGCGGCCACTCGATAAATTGCAGTTTAATTCACTTCCGTGTTGGCTTCAAGAGAGAGACGGGGAGGTTCCCGCTTGGTAATAACGGACATTTTGTGCAGCTATTAGAACATGTCGGTGTAAAAATTGTTTATATTGAGAAAAAATGTTTAATGTGACTGCATTGTTTTTTGCAGATTGTTTTTTTTTAATGCTGATTCGATTTGAGTGATCTTCCATTTGAACGGCGAGCCAGACCCTGACCTCCCACTCAAAGAATCGTCGTGGTCCATCACGGATGCACACAAGAGAGCTAAGCACATACATACTACCCGGGTAGCAACACAAAAGGCCTTTACACAAATATATTGAAGCTCTTTACACACACATGACCATTGGCGTTTAACACATGGACATTGGAGCACTTCATACAAAGGATCCGGAAGAGACTGAGACTGTTTTATTTTGTTTCATTTTATTTAATTTTTTGGGGTATTTACATTCAATTTCTGGTTTGTGAGAATATTGTTTAAATACATTGAATGTGAATAATTGTAAATAAAATTGCCGGCTGTTAATTACTAAAAGTTGATTTGGTCCACCTTTTGCTTTAAATCCTCCCAGAGCCGAACCTAGGCTGAAATCTCTGTAGAGTAACACATATAATAATACATTCGTTGTCCCTGTTACAACATCATCATGAATTATGATTTCTTACGCATGATCATGATGTTTTCTTTCTTCAAAGTTATGCCACCTTTAATAGCACATTGTTCATCAGTGTTTCAAAGGACCTAGTCACCAGTTTAGTTGAGGGGCCACACACATGATGAAGTCATTGATAAATAATGCTTAGTTAATGATGACTACTGTATTTGAATGTCAACAAAATTTGTGTGCTATGAGCTGTGATTGGATTTTGGGGTCTGTTCAATACAGTAGTCATCATTAACTAAG